CTTGTTACGCCAGATTCACACTTAGAGGTGCAAAAATTCTCACATAAAACAGTGATTACATGCCTCTATCAATGAGAGCATCTCCAATGGCAAATGCTATTATAGCATTGCCATTATTATAATTTGGCAATGAATAGTAACAAATTATCAAATTATAGCAATGATACTCTAATGATCATTTGTCATTTTGGCAATTAGTTTTTGTTCATCTTCAGCAACAGCAATGGGACGCACAGAGGAAGAAACGCAGAAATTGGTCCCTCGGAATGGTTATTTGTCATTTTGGCAATGAGTTTTTGTTCATCTTCAGCAACAACAATGCGACGCATAAAGGAAGAAATGTAGAAATTGGTCCACCGTTGCTAAAATGGTTTGAGAAGATGAACAAAAACTAGAGGGAGAGAGGGAAACAATTGCTTTTCTTCTTCATTGACACAAATAGCAGCTGTTATTTCAAACCATTAGAGCACACTTCTTTGCTACAGTTGTCAAATTATGGCAATAGCAGCTCCAATGGCTTGCCATTGGAGATGCTCTAAGTGAATCTTTCTTTATTTGACTTTTTTTTTTACAATATTTTCATTTGTGTTTAATATTATATTATTTTATAGTAATATTACATATAATTTACAGCAATGTATTATCTCACTTTCATTCTGTTTAATTCTAATTATTTTCATATTGTGCCTTAAAATTCATAGTACTTAATCACCACCAGCTATTCTTGAATTTAGAAAATGAATAAGTTAAATAGTAAGGGACAAAACTCTTTAGGTATGTGGTATCCTTGTTCCATCTTAGTTTCAAACATATACCTATCATAAGTAGTTGGCATATTAAATACTTTCATCACATTACCAAGACTTTCCAAAACAACCATGAAAGATTTTTATTGACTCATTTTTGTGAAGATAACATTATGTGATGATACCAAAATAAATTTTGATTTTTGTTTTTTTTGGTTTACAGTGATATTTGCAAGTGAATTCTAGATATTTGTGTGAAATTAATAGAAACACCATTTGTGTGATACTCTAAATTAAGAGTTTGTTATGTTGTTTTCAACTAAAATGTTAAATATAACTAATATTGCTTCAAAATGATATGTAATTATTTAATTTTAAATGCATTGTCATCATATGAGAAACCATAAATAATATATATATATATATATATATAATCCAAATGAATAAGAAAATGTACAAAATTACATTATCTAAGAGGCATTGAAATTAGTAAGTATACATTTAATGTCTATTTATAAAAAAAATTATTTTAAAAAATATAATTACAATAGATAAAATACCACGTGCAATGCATAGGGGTGCAAGTCGGGCGGGTTTAGTTGAGTTGGGAGGTTGTCCAAGCCCAGCTCAAGTTGTGCTGAGACTTGACCAGGCCCGAATTGTAAACCGAGGTTATCTGCCCAAGCCTGACCCGAGTTAAACCCGAATTGTTCAAGTTGCCCGAATTGTAAATGAATTTTAGTTTTTTTTTGGCAACTGCATTATTAAATTATTAAAATTTGACTCTATTTATATATTTTTTATATAGAAAATCATTAATACCATCAAAACAAATAATTTATATAATGTAAGAGAAATGTCGCTATAGTAGTTCTTACAATTTATGAGTGAAAAAAAACAAAAGAAGTAAGATTTTATGTTATTTGTATATATAATATATTTAATATGATTTAACAATCAAAATTACTTTGATATCATGTGATGACGAATAATTTATATGCTGTTGACACCATAAATCTACAATTTTTATTATTATTTATTATTTATATAATTGCAGGACATGTAGCATCTTCCTACTCATTTGGAGGTTAATGTTGGCACCATAAAATAATAATATGATTATTATTATTTTCAAGACACGTGGCATTCTTTTATTCATTTTAAAGTTAAAAGAAGTTATGGAGATGATGGAGAATATGAAGGACAAAGTGGATGAGTGGAAGGACACATGGCAAGACAAGAATGAAGATAAAAGAAATGGGTAGTTACTAAGTAGTTATTGCTGTATTTTTTCCTCTATAAATAGCCATTAATGGCTACATTGTAAGAGCCAGAACTCAAATAAAAAACAATTGATTTCAATATTTCTTGTCATTTTCCTTATCTTAGGAGTAGTTTAATATAGATTTATATTTCGAAGCATTTATTTCCAGCACTTTCATTTCGAAGTATTTCATGCGCTTCCTTTTCGAAGCATAGCAGTAGAGATAAGTAATTATTACTTTGATTGTTCACTCAGTTGTCTTTCTCCATCTCCCTTTCTTCTTTTAATTTTTCTTTTCTCTACACTTTGGCAATTTTGAAGTCCTCTTTGTTGAGGCAAAAGAACCGTCAACACAATCGTTTGATAATTGGCTTGAATTTAATCTGTAAGGATTTTTCAATCCTTGCTGGCACGCTCGCATTTATAATATTTTCCTTCGTAGGAAAAATAAGCCAACATTTTTGGCACGCCTGGTGGGACATCCAAGTGTAAGAAATGACAAACGATTTGGATTTCTCCATTCGAACTTGTCAATATGAAATATATTTGCGTGAAAGAGAAATTTTGGATCTTCAAGAAGAGATCTATTTTCTTGATGAAATAAACTTTTATCCCTTACAATATTATTTGGTGGAAGAAAAAAGACACCATTTAATTGGAGAAATTCGTCAACTTGATATGAAAATTTGCCAATGGAATGATGTGTTATTAACTCTCACTACCAAGTCTTTAACTGAGGCTTTAATGGCCAGAATTGGTGTATTTTTTCAGAATTTTTCCATGGTTAAAAATAGCAAAAGCAAATAGTTGATTTCATCAATGGCTCAGGGGGTTCGAGAGTTCGTTTTTAAAGAGCCAAGTTATGAAATTAACACAACGAAAGAGCATGTTCTTAAACCAAATTTGGCTAAAAATGATGTTCCATGTATGACTCGGGGGGTCCAAAAACCAAATTTTAGAGAGTGAAGTCATGAAAATAACATATTTATGGGTGATTTTCATAAGCCTTTAATGGCTAACATGGAAAAACAACCCACTTTGCTAAATAATTATGAAAATCAATTCGGCGAAAGGCTTGTTTTTAAAACAAACATGATCAAAAATAATGAACAAGCCACTGTTCATGAATTCAAAATTTTTGACATTTTTCAAAATGTCAAAAAGTATGAATTTTCATGGTCACACTATACCATGACTTTTGGTGTTCAAAATCCTTTTTGGATTTATGGTTCACATCAAAATATAATTCTAATGATGTGGCTAATAAAATTAACAAATTGTTCTTATGAGTTCGAAGCACTAAGAACAAGGGATGACCATTTAATGCATGAACTTGGCTAGAAAAAGCCTATGCATTTAAATAAGTGGTTGAGAATGGCTTATCTTTTCAAATTGATAGCCAGTTGTTTGTATGTACACAGTCAAAGCATCGAAGATACATTCTAAGAATCAAGAGTTGTTTCGAAGGTTGATTACTTCGCCTTCGAAGTTGTATAAAGCTTTGCAGATATATTCGAAGCATTAAGAGTTGTTTCGAAGGTTAATTACTTCACCTTCGAAACTATATAAAGCTTTGAAGATACATTTGAAGCATCAAGAGTTGTTTCGAAGGTTAATTACTTCACCTTCGAAACTGTATAAAGCTTTGAAGATACATTCGAAGCATCAAGAGTTGTTTCGAAGGTTGATTACTTCACCTTCGAAACTGTATAAAGCTTTGAAAATACATTCGAAGCATCAAGAGTTGTTTCGAAGGCTGATTACTTCACCTTCGAAACTGTATAAAGCTTTGAAGAAACATTTGAAACGTCAAGCCTAACCTTGAAACTTCATTGTAAGTATCATCATTCTATATCAATGCTTCCAACCTTCGAGGGGTGATGTTGTTCCTTCAAAACTGTGTCGCAAGAACTTCGAACGATGAATTTGGTTTTTTATACCACCTTCGAAGCTTGTTATTGGTCATCTAGTCATAATTTCATACTCATTTGAAGCACCTTATTGGTGTTGTTATATCATTCGAAGCACTTTGTTGCTTAGATTAGTCATGTGCTTGGTTCAGCCTTTCAAAAATTCAAGTAAATATCATTTTTAAGGGCCGTGGGGGGTAATGTTGACACCATAAATCTGCAATTTTTATTATTATTTATTATTTATATAATTGCAGGACATGTAGCATCTTCCTATTCATTTGGAGGTTAATGTTGGCACCATAAAATAATAATATGATTATTATTATTTTCAAGACACGTGGCATTCTTTTATTCATTTGGAAGTTAAAAGAAGTTATGGAGATGATGGAGAATATGAAGGACAAAGTGGATGAGTGGAAGAACACATGGCAGACAAGAATGAAGATGAAAGAAATGGGTAGTTACTAAGTAGTTATTGCTGTATTTTTTCCTCTATAAATAGCCATTAATGGCTACATTGTAAGAGCCAGAACTCAAATCAAAGACAATTGATTTCAATATTTCTTGTCATTTTTCTTATTTTAGGAGTAGTTTAACATAGATTTATATTTCGAAGCATTTATTTCTAGCACTTTCATTTCGAAGCATTTCATGCTCTTCCTTTTCGAAGTATAGGAGTAGAGGTAAGTAATTATTACTTTAATTATTCACTCAATCGTCTTTCTCCATCTCCCTTTCTTCTTTTAATTTTTCTTTTCTTTACACTTTGGCAATTTTGAAGTTCTCTTTGTTAAGGCAAAAGAACCGTCAACACAATCGCTTGATAATTGGTTTGAATTTAATCTGTAAAGATTTTTCAATCCTTACTGACACGCTTGCATTTATAATATTTTCATAGGAAAAATAAGCCAACATATGCATATTTATTTTTAAATTCAAGTTTCAAATTTGATATCTTTACCCAAATTCATCTAAATTTAATTTAAATTTCTAAATTTTTATCTAAATCGATACTAAATTTGAAAATATCTTATTCAAATCTTAAAAAAATTCAAATTGAATTCAGATGCCCTGAGTTGAGCCCGCATCACCAGTTTGATAAAAAAAAAAAAAAAAAGAAGTGACAGAGAAGAGATCCGGATCCATCGAAACAGCAATTTTGGCAGCCCACAGTACCCGGATCAAACTGCCCCGAGTTCCCTCCAAACCCTTTCTTGCACAAGGAAGAGAAGCTTTCAAAGCGACACAGAGAGATGGATCCGAAACTCACAGAGGTTTCGCAGCTATTCGAGAGATTCAAGGCCGCTTTTATTCGGAACGATTTCGATACTTGTTCCAAACTCCTGTCTCAGCTCAAGGTCACAATTCCCAAAACCCTAATTTTTATCTCTTATCAGATTCAATTTCATGTTTTTAATATTTGTTTTTGAGAACCTCTTACACTTTCGTAAGGCCTAAATTTGTTAATTACTGATTTTTGTTATCTAGTTTTTTTTTTTGATCGGTAAGTTTTGAACTATTATATATTGTGTTTATTGACAATGGCGAGCAACATTTGGGACTTTGATGCAAAACCAGAAATTAGACATCTTTGTTTATGTATTGGTCGAATTCGGATGGTATTCGGCATACTCTTTTATTTATTTATTTATTTATTTATTTATTTATCAATAATGCTGCCGTTCTAGTGACATTGTATGGAAATGGGTCTGCCTTGGGCGTAATTGTTCAAATCTTTTGTATATGATTTGGACAGTGAGAAATTTTTCAAAACAGTTACAAGTATTTCAATACCATCGCTAAAGAAATTATGGAATGTATCAGAGATAAGACATAGTTGTCTGTATACGATGCCTAATACTCAACTGAATCGATGGAATTAGAGGGAATGGAACCTCCCAATCTCCATATATTTGATCAAAGATGATTTCGTATTGGCTGCAGTATGATGTGAGGCATCTTCTTTTATTTTGCAGGTCTTGCTGACAGAGTTTAGAAGCCTTCCACCATTGTTTGAAGAAACTCCCAATGCAGTTCATGAGTTGACATTAGCCAGTAACTTGACTTTATCTATAAAAAATATTGAGTTCCTTTAGTTAGTTGTATTGCTATTTGTTGATAAACCTAGTCTTTTGTTGATTCACATGATTCTATCCTCTTGGGTTGTGTGTTTTTGTGCAAGACTAGGATATGAACAGAGAAGCAAACCCATTTACTGCTATCCCTTTTTGCTGGTTCTTGAATTTTATCTCTTCCATTGTTCTTAACTTGGTTTGTGAGCTACAGGTTGTTTTAGCTCTTTCTATTTTGCCTATATATTCTGCATTGTGAAGTGACTGAAGCAATGTAATGGCTAAGCTGGTGAGCTAAAATTTTCAAGTCTTTCCTCTTTGTGCTAAGAAAAAGCTTCATCATCATTACAAACACTGTTTTTTGTTGGGTGGCAATTATATTGCATTTGGATGGGTTTGGATGACAAAACTTTGAGGGAATGCAAAGTATTTAAACAATGTTTTGAAAATACATGTTTTCAGAGGGCTTTGGAAGTTTGGAAAATCTAGTCTGTGAAGGCTTTATTTTGACCTTTACGATTATTTGATTTTTCGAGGAGAGAAAAAATGAATGTCTTGGAGACTTTCTAGGCGGGAGTGTTTTCAGTTTGCTGTTTTTGACATGATTTGTGATGTGGAGGTGATATCGTGTTCATGGTCGTTAGAATGCTATGATTCATGATACGATTTGATTCATACAATTCGATACGAGTTGCTAACAAGCTGTGAAGTTTGATCTTCTCAGTTTTTGGGGTTGAGTGGGTGATGCCATTCTCAAGAGGTGGGCTTGCAAGTTCTTGGAGTTTAGTTTTCCTTAGAACTGGGATGAAAAGGTGCGGTAGATTGCAGTGTTCGGTGTTCTGTGGACATTTTGAAGGGACAATGAAAGGTCTTTTGAGGATTGAAAAAAGAAAACTAGTAATGTTGCATGACAATCCATGGAGTGTGCTTAGGGGCGACACTACACTTAATTGAGAGGGTTCAATTGAACCCACTTAAATTTGTTTATTTATTTAAACAAATGAATTTTACTTGCTCATATTAATTATAGGTTCATTGAGTCCTTTGAATTTTTACTGAACCCTCTTACTTGGACTTGAACACTCTTTACTTGCATCTGGTTTCAATAAAAACATTATGCAATTATATTTTTACAATACTATAGTATATTATTTGTTTACAGTTATACCTTTCAAACTACTCTCTTTATAGAGATTAGTCTCTTGGCCAGAGTTTTTATACCTTATTAGAAGGTTAAGGCCTTGTTTGATTAACATGATTAGTAGTGAAAGGATTAATAATTTCATGAATTAGTGTTGGATTAGTTATCCAATTAAATTAGTGAGATAACCATTTGTTATGTATTCATTTTATTTTTTTATACTTGAAATTAGTGGATGAGACTAGAGAATGAGTTAATACAAAGTTGGAGATTTAGAGAAAAGCTTTTGAATCTAAAGGATTCCGGATAAGCAGAACTAAGACAGAGTACATGGGTTGTAAATTTAGTAACAGTAACAATGAAAGCAGAGGAGAAGTGAAGATTGAGAACCAAGAACTGCCTAAGAGTGAACATTTTCGTTATTTAGGGTTGATTATCACAACAACAGGGGAGATTGATGTAGATGTGGCCCATAGGATTAAGGCGGGATGGTGTAAGTGGAGAAGTGCGTCTGGGGTACTATGCGATAAACAAATATCCACTAGACTTAAAGGTAAGTTCTATAGAATGGCTATTAGACTAGCAATGTTGTATGGGACCGAGTGTTAGGCAACCAAAAAACAATATGTAGATAAGATGAGTGTGGCTGAGATGAGAATGCTAAGGTGGATGTGTAGCAAGACTAGACAAGACAAAATTAGGAATGAGTGTATTCGGTAATGGGTAGGAGTAGCACCAATAGAAGATAAGTTGAGACAGAATCGATTGAGATGGTTTGGTCATATTCAACGGAGACCAACAGAGGCAGTAGTGAAGAGATGCGATGCTGTAACGGTAGATGGAAGTGTTAGGCGACGGGGCAGGCCTAGATTGAATTTGGTTAGTGTTGTAAATAAAGATATGGATCTACTTAATTTGACTAACGAAATGGCCTTTGATAGGGCCGCGTGGAGAAGAAGGATTCATGTAGCCGACCCCATTTGATGGGACTTAAGGCTTGGTTTGGTTATACTTGAAATTAGGATCCCCAGCTCCTCTCAATATTAAAAATTTGCCAATTTTGTTGGATTGAATGTACGCCGTACATGTAATCCGTTTAATAAAATTTGCAATCAAATATGGGATTGTGAGTCCATGGGCTAACAATTCCAATCCCAATCCTAATCCTATGCTATAATCCTACTAATCAAACATGCCTTAAGAGTTTGACTTTTCACACGTGCATGTGAAATTTATTCCCCTCGTACTCGTTTGAGACGTCACTCCCATTTTGGGAGTTTATTTATAATCGTGTTTTATGTTGTAATTATTGTATTTGTTTGGGATGTCTCCCATTTTGGGAGTTTATTGTGTTTTATGTTGTAATTATAAACACATTCTATTTCCCTGTTTGATGATACATTGTAATAATAATAAAAAAAATCTTTGTTGTTTTCTCATCTAACAATAGTACAAGATCGTCATTCATATCATATCTTTATCACACATACACAAGGTTTGGCTATTATTTTTTATTTGTGTCATGTGTTTGCTAAATTTGATTGTTGGTGGTGGTGACCAAAAGGGGTAGGAGAAAGTGGAAAGAATGAAAACTTATTTTCGAAACAAGTAGAATAAACTTTTTTTTTTAATAAAAAATTTAGTGTAGTTTGTCTATAATTTTTAGAAACAAAATTAGGCACCAAATGAGTTTTTGTATATAGTTTTTAAATTATTTATAAACATAAAAATTGTAAACATAAACGTTATCATGCCTTGAAAATTAGGTGTTTCAATGACGGGTTTTGACAAGTGGCGGGAATTTAATGTTGGATTAAAAAAACTAGCAAAGTTTTGACAAGTGATTTGAACCCATTGATTATTTATTTTTTTTATTCTCTGGCTCCTCCCCCTCCCGCTTTTTTAGGAGTGATGTGCTTTTGCCCCACCTATTGGCACATAAATTTCAACCAAATTTATGTTCAGATTTCAAATACAGTCAAGCAGTTAATGACACGCATAGAGCCTATGATGGGATTGTTGTAGGTAATCACTTCCTAAAATGATCAATTTAATCTGTTGAAGTGCATAAATAAAACGACGTCATATCTCAGTGATGTTACTCAAGATACTCAAATGATACGTGGAGCCTACGAAGGATGGCACTTGTAGAGCCTATGGCAAGTGAACCACACAAGATGAAATCCAAAAGCTCAATACGGTTAATTAGATATGATTACACCTAAATTCAAATGGCGTTATCATTCAATTTGAATTTCAAATTGAAGATGAGGCACTCTTATCACATATATATGGTCCTCTATAAATATGACGACCATCACACAAGAGAAAGGATCAAAAATCAAAAGTTAGAGAGAGAGAGAGAGAGAGAAATTAGGAGTTAAAGAAGTCTTCACAAGAAAGAAGAAGAAGAGAAACCCAGAGAACTCAAGGGCCTATGCTACAAACGCATAATGGCAATCAATAGGTAAAGGGTTTCAAGCCCAAGAATTGTACTTTGTATTCAAGGGTTTAAAACCCACAACAATTTCAATAAAATATTTCTTTTCCTTAAATTATTTTCTGTTAAATTTTTGTTCTTCATTAATCGGAGGTTTCATTAAATTAAAAATGTGTAATTAACGATCTGAAATACAAATCGGAAATATGAACTTGCTATTCAAATAATCGACACTGTTTAGTCCAAGAACTAACCAATGAACATTTGTGACATGAACTTCGAAATGTGTTGAAACACTTTATGTTTCGATATTTGTGTCTACACCAAAAAAGTTAGATTCTTGTGTTCGTCCTGTTAGGAAATCATCTCTTCCTAACAAGGATCGGTAACAAACATGAAAGATAAAACGAATCAAAGAAATCACGCACACACAATAATACAAAGATTTACGTAGTTCACCCCAGAATAGGGCTAGGTCCACGGTTATTGTGGTTTTCACTAAGATCAGAAAACGATATAACTGTGACTCTCTATAGTACAAGTGGTGCCCCCTTCATATATTTATAAGTATAAAAATTAGGGCAATGCAGAAGTAATAAGAAATTACCAAAGTACCCAAAATATTTGAACCCGTCATCCCTTGGGGGAGGCCCCTAATGGAGCCAATCAAGAAAGAGATTTCATTAGAGAGAAAATTCCAAAATGAGCACAAGAGCTCTCATGTTCTGAAATATTCAATATCAAAATATCATAAAACTGAATACTAGAGATGTCTAACCACCTATTTATAGGATAAAAGACCCAACTAACTCTAACTAACTCTGATGGTGCTAAACGTAACAACTATGCTAGTTCTAACTACATCAGACTTCCCCTCTAAAGAAAAACAACTTGTCCTCAAGTTGGGACTACAACAAATTGACTCAAGACAACAAAATAATAATAAAAAATGACTCAAAACAATGACTTATGGAAGTATGATGGACATGCAATGCCGAACAAGACTAAGTAGTTACAAGTCTATATTCAAGAGCATCCTTGCAAATATCCTTCCATCAAAACGAGTTCTTGTTTATGGACATCAACCGAAGCCATGTTGAGGTGTGAATAGGCCACCCATGTAGCATGCCATTTTGGAAACAAGATGTCATCAAAATAATGCTTCTTGCATGGGCCCAAAATAAACGCATCTTTCCTCCATAAAGCCGGGTTGGGTACCAAGTCAACACAAAGTGGAACAAATGGCTTTGAAGATAGCATAAGAAGCATTTCTTGGAAGCAAAGATCATTCAACACCCATGAAATTTCAATGTTATGACTCTTCACCATAATTTTCTTGGAATCTAGAAAAGGAATAGGAGGGATTGCAACCACTTCCTTCATGGGAAGCAATGTAAGAGCAAAACTTGCTTCATCTACAACACTACACCTTTGCTCTCTACAAGGAAGTTATCATCATCATCATATAGTGGTCAAAGATTGGAGCTCCGCCATATGCACAAACATCAACTTTCTTTTCATATTCATGAACATTAACTTCATCGTAATCGAACGCCCCACTCATTGGTTCATCAAAGATGGAAACATTTTGCGTCATATCCTTGTTCCACATCAAAGATAGGAACATCTTGATTACAACCTTGTGTTTGCTCATAATCTTCTCCACTAAAGATGGAAGCTCCAACATCAAAGATAGGAACATCCGGATCATAATCTTGACCATGATCACTACTTTCTTCCACATTTCTGCATCATAATTTGGTTGAACCACCTCGTCACTAAAGAGCATCTTATGATGACGTTTATCATCAAAAGTCTCTTTCATTCCCACACTAGTTGAGTAACCAATTTGGACATAGTCATAGGATGGTTGTCGGATTGCCAAGCCTTTTCGGTGATATCCGAAATTTGAAATGCCCTTCTTTTGGTGCTTCTCAACCAACAAGATGGCACGTGACTAAAAGGCTGCTCCTTGAGCTTCTTTCTCACCTTTCTCCACCCTCTAACCTTTTCTTGGCCATTTCTTTGCCTACCAACTTGTAATTGTTTCCACCAATCAGCGGTATGACTTTTGAGGCTTTGAGAGACCAATTTCACTTTCCTTGCTTCTGGCACATCATAACACTCCAAATGACTTTCAATTGTCTTCACCATTCCTTCAAAACATCCAGATTGTAGCTTCCATAGAATTCGAGAAACTCTAAATCCTTTACGGTGTCATTCCATTTAGAATCAAACTCATGTGACTGTGCTCTACGCCTATGCGAAGGATCGAAGGAATCATCAAATTGACGATCCTTGGAACCATTACTACCTTCGATAGGAGGTAGGAGACGTTGCACCGTCTCGGTCAAGGTTTCAAAATGCGGCGTTACGTAACGATTGCGGCGGTAGGCACCAAGTGTTACCCTTGCTTTTGTGGTGTGATTGAGATTCACAGGTGTGTCGGCTGTAGCGGCTTCCATAGCGGCCATAACGGTGCCGTAACGGCCTGTTGCGCATCATTACGTAATGGTTCCGAACTGCTTCTTTTGAAGAAAAAAAAAGGCCTGAAAATGGGGGAAGAGGGATAGAGAGAGAAGAGAGAAGATGGAGGAGTAAGAGATAGAGAGAGAGAGAGAAGAGGGAAGATGAAGAACCTATTATTGATTTGTTGAAACTGTAACACCTATGCTATTCTACTCAGCTGCTATCACTTAATCATTTTGTTTGCGTGTGTCTATCTATGTATTGTTTGAAAATAATAATAATAATAAGTGTGGTCATTATCTATTTGGCTTGATTAAAAATATATATATATATATATATGTATATAAAGTTAGTGATTGATTTTTTTGTAAAATATCTAAAAAACATAACACCTATAATTATATATTAATACATATTTTATGCATGTTAATTTTTGTTGATTAGTTTATTTTATTTTTATTTACAGGTTATCCAAAAAGAAAATAAATATTCAAGTGATCCAAACCCAAAGAATTTATTTCTTCTTTATAATTTATTTTTTAATTTTTATATGATTACATTAGCATTTATAATTTATTGTTTAAAACTATTCAAGTTAAAATTTCTATATGCTTCCACAAATATAATAATTAAAAAAATAATTTTATGCATCTAAGTCGAATAAAAGAAAATTTTGCTACAAGTGTAATATGGATTTATGACATATAAAGTCATTAACTATTAAAATAAAATGTAGAACACTCTATTTATAGTGATTTAAAAATATGAAATATATTGCATTATACTTAAAAATTAACAAAAATTGATCAAAATTTATTTTAAAACCCAATAAATATGATTCTGGAAAAAAAAATGCATATCAGTAAGTTTTTTTCAAATTGTGCGAAAAATAAAAAAATTCACGGTTTTGGTTACCGCAACCGTTACGCTACGGCCTTTACATTTCGCAACCGCAACCGCACCACCGCTACTGTTATGGCAACCGCAACCGCTTTTCAAAACCTTGGTCTTGGTTAAAGCAACAATTTGCCTTCTCATCTCGGTCATTTCTTCTCTTTGATATGGAACCAAATTAACCCTTCCAACCGGAGGATTGACCTCGGCATCATCACCCAAATTCGTAGCATAAACCCTATCGCAACCACCTCTACAAATTCAAACTTGTTGAGCCATTGATAGACCTAATATTTAGAAGTCACAGCAATATGACACAAAACAGTGGACGGCTTCTCAATAGTCTTTGCCAAATTAACCAATACAGCAATTACACAAGTATTACAACCTTTTGGTTTGAAGGCAACAATTCTACCAAAGGCACAGATATTCCAGTCAAGAAACAGACCCACATAGGAATTCAACTTGAACAGTCCAAAAGGGAATCAATCGGCCAAAAATCAAGCGTTTATTTAAGAATCAAATTACGATTTCAAGAATCAAGAATTTAGTAACCAAGATTCAAGAATCAACTGATGTGGACATACCAGAATTCGAATCAAGAAGAAAATCCAAATCTCAAAACTTGAGCAAGAATCAAACCCTTTGCTTCGAATCTCAACCACCAAGTCAGATTGTAACTATCCAGTAGGTTGCGATCTCAAAACGCTTGAACCCAGGTCAGTTTGTGACTTTGAACCAGGAGTTGCGTGAGATTGCGACTTCGAATCTTGCAAAGAACTCCAAATCACAAATCAACTTCGATGCAATCTGAAGGACGAGAGTCACAACTGTGTGTCAAAGCTTCTGGATCAAAGTTGGGCTTTGAACTCAAACACCCTGGTTGCAAGGCCAGTACAAACTTCAAAGTCCAGATGTCCTGCGAATTCAATTCAAGAAACCAGATTGCGTTGCAAGAAGTTCCAGAGATTCCGAACTGATGGGCTCTGTGATTTCGAAATTGCGATTGCAACTTTGAATCGCAGTATTTTCGCAAATGGGTTCTTCGAATCAGAATGATCTTCGCAGATTCTGGGTTTTACAAACAAGAATGTCGAAGACGATCCAGGTGAACTCCAATCAAGAGATCGAACGTCAAGCTTTCATGTTGCGATCAAGATTTGAACCCCAGGTTGAGTCGTGACTTTGGAATTTAGGTCAGATTGCTACTTCGACTCAGGGCAGTACATGGGCAAAACAACTTGTTCATTTCTACGGATGATGAAGCCTCATACAGTCAAGGAGAACCAGGTCAGATTCTAAGGCTCTGATACCAAAATGATAGAGCCAATCAAGAAAGAGATTTCATTAGAGAGAGAGAATCCCAAAATGGGTACAAGAGCTCTCAAGCTCTGAAATATTCAATATCAAAATATCATAAAACTGAATACTAGAGATGTCTAACCACCTATTTATAGGATAAAAGACCCAACTAACTCTAACTCACGCTTATGGTGCTAAACATAACAACTATACTAGTTCTAACTACATCACCCTCCAAACCCGCCATTGGACCCAGGGCTCATTATACAATACTTATCAGGGTCTACAAACACATCCCTGTGTGCAATTCATGCAACATAAGTTGACTTAGAAAATATGAGGAAGAAGAATTCCGAAAATATGAGGAAGAAGGAATATATTTCTGTTATATTCAAAACTTCTTATTTTACAAGACCAAATGACAGTTGGCCAAGTATTGTGACATGTAAGAGCGCTGTCAGCTCTATCTTCAGTTGAGGTACGATGATAATAACAATATGCACTGAGGTAAGAAAAGTGATGACCACTATGGAAAAGTTGATCAAAAGTGAAGATCGCATAAGACAAGTTTTCACAGCCCTTTAGGTGAATGCACTTGTGAAACATACTTGCAAATTGGATTAGGAAAATTAAAAGATGGAAATCGCTGATGACCGAGTTTGTTCAAACAACTGTAGCTTTAAAAAGATTAACTCTTTCAAGTCCTAGCATTTTGACTAGAATACCTGATTTGGTTAACGTGGCATGCTGGTCACGACTTATGTATAAGTTTTACATTTACATTCTAAGGAAATTTGAATATTATGTGTACCAAATTTTGTCAAATTACTTCCATTTTCAAGTCCTAAGCTGTTTTGCTGATGATGTTTCTGACTGACAATTTGCAGGGGATATATATGAGCGTGCAGTTGTTTTGAGTGTGAAGATTGAGGACCAGGATGCCTTTGAAAGGGATTTTTTCCAGTTGAAACCTTACTATACAGATGCACAGTAACTTCTCATGTCTTTTCTGTTTTTTTTTTTGATGACCTTTATATTTTAAATATCCTTGACAAAAATGGGTGGCAAAAGATGAAATGAGGAACACATGTTTTCAGGTTGTATAAAAAAGGTCATATACTTTTTTGCCATGTTTGAGTTGATTTGGAGTCATTTTTTGAGGAGAATTTCTAGCTATGCTTCTTTTCCCCCTCCACAGGTTAGATGATCTCAGAAAACTAAACCAGCCAATGAATTGCTTAAATGTTCTAATTTGTGTGGGCTATTATGTTAACATCTTGGTTTCTTCAGATTGAAGCCAGATTTTTCTTATCAGACCCTTTTTTTTTTTGGTGCAAGTAGTAGCAGTTGGATTTGATGGACAAAAACACCTTCAGTTTATGTTGTCTTGCTGCATACCTATGTGATGAATTATTGTGTTGGATGAGAAACATATTTTTAAATGCATTGCCTTCTAGCTATAATTTCTATGTGCTTCATATCTGTATTAATTTGAATTAGCTAATCCTATTTGCGGTCATGGAGGAGCTAGTGTACATGTGACACTGCACAGTAACTTGTCCAAACAATTAGACTGATTTAAGGTATATGAAGGATTTTTGTATATGTATTTTTGGAACATGTTTGTTTGTGTTCCTTCCTATCTGATCCATGTGTCGAAGTGTGCCGCTTTTAGAAAGTCCTCAAGCAGTTAAAAATAAAGCAAAACATCCTACATGTTAATTTCATGATTGTGAACAACTTTTTCTATTTCTAGTGGCATATAGTGGGGGTAATGTGGTTGACAATGTGTCAATAAATTGGGTAGTCAATGTTCAATAATGCAATTGAGACAGGCATGGCCATTGTTGATTTCTGTCTGGTTCTGAGAGTGAGCTTACTGCTGACTTATTTATCTTGTTTACCTTTTGAATTTGAAATGTAATGGTCATGAATTTTTTTTTCTTTGATGGAGCGGTGGCCGCCTTCCACCATCTCCTCAGGAGTATCCTATCTTAGGTCTCAACCTTTTGAGACTCCTTGTGCAGAATAGAATTGCTGAATTCCACACTGAATTGGAATTGCTTTCAGCCAGTGCTATGGAGAATAATTGTATTAAGCATGCTGTAGAACTGGAGCAATCGTTTATGGAGGGGGCTTACAACCGTGTCTTGAGTGCGAGACAGACTGTACCCCATGAAACTTACGTTTATTTCATGGATCTGTTGGCAAAGACAGTCAGGTAAACTGTGTGACTTTACCTATGTCAGAGATTAAAAGGAGAGGCAAGAGTTGAAATAATATCTGATTTTTTAGGTGTTTTATTTGATTATAGTTGTTCATTCCGTTCATATAATATCATGTATTCTTTTAAGTAGAGGAAAATGGGGGCATTTATGAGAGTTTGCTGGTGGACAGTTGCAGCCAATAGTTGAACTTCGTTTGGGCGGAAATAGTGATGGAAATTAAATGCACGTTGGTTGGTATTACTGCTTTTTCATACGCACTTTGTCTACTTGGTAGCAGCATTGACTATCCCACTAAATTTGAATTATGGTGAGGTCTATGTTGATTTGTTTTGGTTAATATGTTTTTCTATCCCTTTTGCTACGTTTGTTCATAATATCAAGTTAGTGACCTGAGAACAGGGATTTACACACATATTCTCTATATACATATGCACTGCGGACTGATCAATCACTCTTGTCTTTTCTTATTTTTTTCATTCCAACTATGGTAGCATGTGCACTTTGGAAAGTGTTGGTTGGTATTACTGCTTTTACATATGCACATTGTTTGCATCGTAGCAACATTTACTTTCCTGCTAAATTTGAATTATATTAAATGAGACCTATGTTAATTTGTTTTGGTTATCATGTTTTTATATCTCTTTTGCTACATCTGTTCATAATATCAAGTTAGCGACCTGAGAAGTGGGATTTACGCATACATTCTCTATGTATACATATGCACTGTGGAGAGATGGCTCACTCTTGTCGTTTCTTATTTTGTTCATTCCAACTCTAGTAGCATGAGCACTTTGGAAAGTGTGGGTTGGTATGTTACTGCTTTAGATACACACATTGTCTGCTTGGTAGAAAGTATGGTTAGTTTTGTGCCCTTAGTAGTTCATTGTCTTTCGCAGAGGTGAAATAGCTGGATGCAGCGAAAAGGCCTACGATTCACTTTCAATTAATGATGCCCGGAAAATATTGTTCTCTTTAGACAAAGAACTTTTTGAATATGTCAAAGAGGTAAAATTCTTGCTGCTAAGCTCATTTTCATTCTTATTATTGTTAACCAATGGAATACATTAATATCTGGATCTACATTGGTGGTCTTAGTTGAAGGGAAGTACTAACCATCTAATTAGAAGTCAACTCTTATTTTTCTTGTTTTCTTTTTGTTCTTTATTACCCATCATTTTAACTTGCCCCCTCTTGGCCAAGAGCTGTATTGAGCAAAATTTTGTTGGGTAATATGATATGGAATATTACAGTGTGTACACAATAAAAATTGGATTCTATATCCTGTTTTAATTTTTGTTGTTTCTCTATCTGCTTCTCAATAGTCTGTTAGGTCTCAGTTTGGTGCTTTGGAAATGGTGAGGGAAAGCTGGAAGAAAGTAGAAATAAATGAGAAAGAAAGTTTTTTTAATTTTTCTTCATTATTTTGTCGTACATAAATAAGTATTAAATTAAAAAAATTCGTAAGAAATGGTAAGAAATAAAAAATAAGTGGGAAAAATGATATTTAAAAGTTGACATTTCTCCATTTTCTTCACCATGTTTTCTTTTCTGCACTATTTTCCAAGGTAATGAAACAAAGACAAATGATTTCCTTTCTGTTTTCCCTTCCCTTTTTTTTTTGAAATCACCAAATCAATGAATCAAATGGAGCCTAGATGCAAGGGCTTTGTGGAGTTGCAATATATGCATTATTTATGGTTTTTCATTTTATACTTCAGTGATAGCATATTAACCTTGTGTTAATGATAATACCAAAATCCACCAACATGGAAGCCTTGTTCTGGATTTGGTGTCCAATGCAAGGGTTCTTTGATAAGCATTGTTTTATATGCAATTTGTAGGAACATCCTGAGTGGGAGATAAAGAACGGGTTTGTGATTTTCCAAAAGGCAAAAGAATCTGCACCTTGCAAGGAGATACCATCTCTGCAACTCATCAATCAGACACTCAGTTATGCAAGAGAGTTGGAGCGGATAGTGTGAAAGATTGTTGTCAATGCTACTACCATTCTATGGTCCAACCTCCTGATGCCAAACTTGTGTTTTGCTGAATTATTTCCTAGTGCTAGGATCACTTTTTGTAGTTAAATTTGTTGACTGTTCGCAGTGTGCATTCAGAACATTTTGTTTTGGCTTCCCCTCAATTGAGTACTTGATTTCTTTTTCTTTCTTATCATTTACGGAACACAATTTATCTTAATTGCAATCTTGTGTAAAGAGAACAAGAAAATTAAACTGAATGGCTGATTGTATTAAGAATCCTCTCTCTCTCTCTCACTATGTATGTAGCACATTGTCAAAGTAGTGTTAGTGATGCAATGTTTGTGAGTTCAGTTTCAATTTTTTGCGTGATTAAGCTTTAGTAATAACCAACTTTACTTGATTAAGCTTATATTATGTGTTTTACAACTTGGGATTTCTTTTTTTTTTGTACCAATTATTATGTGGTCCTAAGTTTTCATATTTAAAACTTAGAAATGAATTGATCTGTGAATTGATTTTTTCCAAGAATGCTTGCTTACGAGTGTAACCAACAATGAATGGGATTGATTGTAGAACCGACACGTTCTGTGTATGTGGTCCTAAGTTTTCATATTTAAAACTTAGAAATGAACTGATCTGTGAATTGATTTTTTCCAAGAATGCTTGCTTACGAGTGTAACCAACAATGAGTGGGATTGATTGTAGAACCAATTATTATGTGGTCCTAAGTTTTCATATTTAAAACTTAGAAATGAACTGATCTGTGAATTGATTTTTTCCAAGAATGCTTGCTTACAAGTGTAACCAACAATGAGTGGGATTGATTGTAGAACCGATACGTTCTGTGTATGTATTACTATATAAATTGAAATTAGCTTCACATAAACATAGATCAATCTAATGCTAGCCCAATAATGGTCGTGTAAATCTTAGATGTTTTGAGTTATTTAACAATGACTATTTGTAAATTATAATTTTAAAATTAAAATATGTTAGAATTTACCTACACCTACCACCACCTACTACCACACCTACTACACCTACCACCAATTTACCCTCACCTACTCCTCACCTACTACCCAAACCCTCTCCTATATAATGAGCCACTCTGATTTGTAATAGAACACATCAAAATTAATCAATCAATAATACATAAATTTTTACATGGTATCAGAGCAAGGTTAAGAACTTAGTGATTCCGCTTCCCCGGCGGGCGGCAGCCTCTCCTTGGCCGTCCGCCGGACAAACCCACATTTTCTAATTCTCCATCAATTCCTCCAGCTCGCCTTTTCTCTTTCACCCTCTGAACCGTTGATCGCCGCCTCAACCACCGAACCCCTCCGCAGTAATATCCGCAGCTTCGTTAACGTGTCCTGATCTTTGAGCCGACAACCAAAATTGTTGACTGTAAAGACCTCTCCTAGAAGCATCCGATCAGTGGCTTCTTCTCTCTTTACACCTAGTACTCATCTTCCTACTCACAAGCAGCTGAGTCCTAGAGACCCCCACTTCAAACCCACCATTCTCTCTCTCTCTCTATATATATAGATATATTGCCGTAGATGGATGGGTACGGACTGTCGGTGCCGGAGTGTTTTCCCACCGACGACCTCCTAGACTTCTCCAACGACGACCTTTTCTCCGCCTCCACACCTTCGTCGACGAATCGTTCGTCGGAACTGTAAATCTGAGTCCTGAAACCTCGTTTCCGGCCGATCACGAAGCACACGAGCCAGAACATCTTCTAAAGGACAAGGACGTTGGCCTGTCAAATCTGCTGGATGTAGCTAGGGCTTCGACTTCGGTTTCTTCCACGACGAGGAGAGCGTGATCTCACTGGTGATCGAGAGTAACTCCGATCACGTCCAAGCTTCTTCTTGGGAGCATCCCGGCAATTTTTTCTATATGCCCTCTTTCACCACAACGATAACACTTGTTCTTCTAGTCTCCAGCTTTGCAATCTCGAGCCCAGTGACCATCGATTCCACCATTGAAGCACCGTCCAGACCCACGACCAACGTAAAGCCGAATATTGCCAGAGTGCTCATCATAACGAGGCATTTTCAAACTGAGCAGTGATAGGAATATTGCCAGAGTGCTCATCATAACGAGGCATTTTCAAACTGAGCAGTGATAGGGCTCTCGCGACTCTAAAATTAACAACCCTTTCTTTTCATTTCTTTATTCTCCACTCACAAAACATTATCATCACCTTTTCAGAAAAACGTGATGGTGGTGGGCTTGAAACGTGATGGTGTTATTTTTTTATTTTTTCTTTTCATCCTTTTGCACCTCACCCACGTTGCTTCATTTTTTTTTATTTTATTTATTTATTTATTTTATTATTTTATGATGTGAACATTCATATTTTAAAATTTACATTGGTAGGAATGTAAAATTGGCCCGTGGCGGCCCGAAACCCGCCCGCAAGCCGGGGTAGGGCGGGCCCGACCTGTTGACAATATGAATGTTCACATTGACATGTTAACATTCACATTAATAGGAGTGTAAAATTGGCCCGCGTCCCGTGGCGGAGCGAAACCTGCCCGCGGCCCATAGGCGGCCCGAGGCGGGCCCGGTCCGGCCCGTTGACAATGTGAATATTCACATTGACATGTTAACATTCACATTGATAAGAATATAAAATTGGCCCGCGGCCCATGGGTGGCCAAAAGCCCGCCCGCGGTCCGAGGCGGGCCCGACCTGGTCTGTTGACAATGTGAATATTCACATTGACATGTTAACATTCACATTGATAAGAGTATAAAATTAGCCCGTGGCCCGGGGCGGGCCCAGCCCGTTGACAATGTGAATACACATTGACATGTTAACATTCACATTGATAAGAGTATAAAATTGGCCCGTGGCCCATGGGCAGCCAAAAGCACGCCTGCGAGCCGGGACGGGCCCGGCCTGGCCCGTTGACAATGTGAATATTCACATTGACATGTTAACATTCACATTGATAAGAGTGTAAAATTGGCCTGCAGCCCGTGGGCAGCCCGAAACCCGACGACAGCCCGAGGCGGGCTTGGCCCGACCCGTGACAATGTGAATATTTACATTGACATGTTAACATTAACATTGATAGGAGTGTAAAATTTGCTTGCTGCCCGAAGCTTGCCCGTGGCCTGGGGTAGGCCCGACCAGGCCCGTTGACAATGTGAATATTCATATTGACATGTTAACATGCACGTTGATAGGAATGTAGAATTGGCCCGCGGCCCGTGGGCTGTCCGAAGCCCACCCATGGCCCGGGGCAGGCTTGTTTGGGTCTGGGCCTGAGCATGTCCGAGACCCTAGGTTAGGGCCTAGGCCATCACTTTGAAGCCCGGCCCGGCCTATCGGCCCGCTTAAGGCCCATTCAAGGCTCGGTCTGAGGCCTAGCCCGACCAAGCCCGACCTAAGCTCAAGGCTAGGCCTAGGCCCACCGGCCCGACTCGAGGCTCGATCCATCGGCCCGTCCAAAGCCCGAATACCCTTGTGCCAGGGCTAGGGCCTGGCCTAATTTTTTGTCCCGTGGGTCAGCCCGGGAAAGGCTCGTTTGGGCCTAGGCTCGAGCCTAGTCCAAGACCCTAGGCTAGGGCCTGGGCCATCACTTTGAAGCCCGGCCCGACCTATTGGCCCGATTAAGGCTCATTCAAGGCTCGGTCCGAAGCCCGGCCCGCGCCGAGGCCTAATGTTTTTTTTTGTAGAAAATAATAAAATTTTGGTAGAAAAAATTAAAAAGAATTAAAAAAAAAAATGGCCAGGCTCGCCCCGGGCCGCCCACGGGCCATGGGCGGGTTTCGGGCAGCCACGAGGCGCGGGCTAATTTTACACTCCTATCAATGTGAATGTTAACATGTCAATGTGAATATTCACATTGTCAACGGGCCGGGCCGGGCCCGCTCCGGGCAGCGAGCGGGCGTTTGGCCACCCATGGGCTGCGGGCCAATTTTATACTTTTATCAATGTGAATGTTAATATGTCAATGTGAATATTCATATTGTCAACGGGCCGGGTCGGGCCCGTCTTGGGCCGCTGGCCAATTTTATACTCTTATCAATGTGAATGTTAACATGTTAATGTGAATATTCACATTGTCAACAGGCCGGGCCAGGCCCGCCCCGATCCGTCCACGGGCAGTGGGCGGGTTTCAGGCAACCACGAGGCGCGGGCTAATTTTATACTCCTATCAATGTGAATGTTAACATGTCAATGTGAATATTCACATGGTCAACGGGCCAAGCCAGGCCCGCCCCGGGCCGCGGGCAGGCTTTTGGCCGCCCATGGGCCGCGGACCAATTTTATACTCTTATTAATGTGAATGTTAACATGTCAATGTGAATATTTACATTGTCAACAGGCCGGACCGGGCCCGCCCCGGGCCGTCCATGGGCAGCGGGTGGGTTTCGCGCCGCCACGGGATGCGGGCCAATTTTACACTCCTATTAATGTGAATGTTAAAATGTCAATGTGAATATTCACATTGTCAACGGGTCGGGGCGGGCTCGGCCCGACTCGAATTTTTCCGGGCACCCACGAGAATCGACATGGGTCGGGCCCTTACACATTGACAATATGAACATTCACATTGACGGTGTGAACATTTACATTAGGGGTATTTTGGTAATTATGTCACCCATAGGACTTATTGAAACATAAGAAAATAATGTGAACTAAATGGAACATAGTAGATGAAAAGGGTATTTTGGTCTTCTTATCTCAAATAGGACCTAATGGAATAGTCAAAAAGAATATGGGTTGGATGGAATAAAGCTCTCAAAAAAGTGGATTTATCAAAAAAGTTCCCTTTCAAAATTACCTTTTAATAGTACATTTTTTTTGGAAATATCAATTGTCATAATTATACTTTTTATGTTAATGAATTTAAACGAAGGGTAAAATAGGAAATTCATATTATTTTTATCCTTAATTTTTGAAAATGGACTAATATTTTGAAACAATGAAAAATGAAATAAGGGACTAATATTTTGAGACGGAGGGAGTAGTTATTATAGTTGATGTGATTAATATATACGAATTTATAAATGAATGGAATAAAATGATATTCGCTAATAATGAAAAGTTTTCGTGTAATTACCCTATTAAAAATTAAAAACTAAGGAAGGAGTAAAATATAATTACGCTGAATTTAAAAGATTTAATGTATTTTTTGAAAAAATCAAGAGAAAAGAAATAAGTGAAATTAACCCAAATACTATTTACAATGCTACAACATTTACCGAATTTGTTTAACTTGAATTCATCCGAATGAATATTTTTTCGAAAAGAATCTCCCGATTCTTCTCGGACAAAGACTTAGTCGGGTGAAT